ATCAAACTTGCAGACTTAAAACAGCCAGACCACAGGTTCCATCAACATTTTTTCAATAAACACATTTTGAATTTAGATTTTAAATACCATTTTCAGCAGTGTTAGCAACATTAGCAGCTTTATTTGCTTTTGTCTCAGGATGATGATGTCACAACAACAGTCACTCACCATCAGCAAAGGCTGCATTCCATTCCAAAATTCTTAAACATAAGCTTTAACATTAAGCTGCAACATTTAAAACGTAATATTTTAGATTTGGGATTTAACAATGAACATTTCGTTTAAAAATGTAGCAAAATGTAAGAACAGTGAGTTGAATAATAAAATGTTTGTGAGCTAAAAAATAAAAATGTGTTTGAGACATTTTTTAACATTTTATTTTACTCTTGGCGTCTCCTAACCTGAAGGACAGAACTATAAAACAATTTAAAAACAAAAATCCTCACAGATTAATTAAACTACAGACACGAGTCGAGGCGCCACATGTAAGAACTTATCTCGCTGTGATCATCAGACTCTCAACAGCGATGCTGCTCGTTTGACAGAGAAAACTCAACCCCTGCRTGTTTTATGTGATAAAATTACATTTCTTGTTGTTTCAGGAAAGGAGCCTAAAGCTACTGCTGCTGGTTTATTTCTGCTTCCATTTCTGAAAACAAGATCAGTGAAATAATTTTCAGTCAGTGTGTCAGACAGATGCAAATGATCTTAAAGTCTTTAGAGCTCCTGACTCAACATGATCAGTTTCAGCTGAAAGGCACCAAAACATCTYGAATCAATTCAGATTTTTCTTTTTTCACTGAACTCATGATTGTGAGGAATTTTATTTAATCTTTTAGATTCTAAATCTTCCTGCTGAGACGTTTCTTCTGGAGGTTTGAAACTCTTATTTTGTGATCTTTAGCTCTGAYGCACCTGGTCTGGGTCAGGTGGACAGGGTTTATAAACTGGTCGGATCGTAGCAAGAAGCAAACGATGATCCGAGCCGATCAGGTTTTATCTGGGATCAGAGAAGTCCTCTCTGGGCTCCCATCAGAGCTCAGGTCAGGTTAGAATTTAACTTCAGTGTTTTTCTGCTGATCGTGTTTGTTAGCAAAATATCTCATGGACCAGTGGACGGGTTCTAATGTTAACTTTTGGCATTAAATTAAATCAAGATGGCYGCCACCTTAGCGAAGACAAAAAGACCCAGAAGTCAGTCAGTTTTACAGACGTGGAGCTGAAGTTTTATGTGGTTGTAGCTGAGATTCATCCCAAACACAGACTCTGASCTCCGACTCATCACCTCTGATTTCAGTTTAAAACCAGATGTTCGGTCGTTTTAAAGTTTCTAGTAGTTTTAGTGCCTTCATGTTCTGCAGAGACATCATGAGACGCCTCCGTCCCTCTGTCCCTCTGTCCCTCCATCCCTCCGTCCCTCCGTCCCTCCGTCCCTCCGTCCCTCCGTCCCTCTGTCCCTCCGTCCCTCTGTCCCTCGTCTCTCAGTCCCTCCGTCCCTCTGTCCCTCGTCTCTCAGTCCCTCCGTCCCTCTGTCCCTCTGTCCCTCCGTCCTCCGTCCCTCCGTCCCTCCGTCCCTCTGTCCCTCCGTCCCTCTGTCCCTCCGTCCTCTGTCCCTCCGTCCCTCCATCCCTCCGTCCCTCTGTCCCTCCGTCCCTCCATCCTCTGTCCCTCCGTCCCTCTATCCTCTGTCCCTCCGTCCCTCCATCCTCCGTCCCTCCGTCCTCTGTCCCTCTGTCCCTCTGTCCCTCTATCCTCTGTCCCTCCGTCCTCTGTCCCTCCGTCCCTCCATCCCTCTGTCCCTCTGTCCCTCTGTCCCTCTGTCCCTCCGTCCCTCTGTCCCTCCGTCCCTCCATCCTCTGTCCCTCCGTCCCTCCATCCTCCGTCCCTCCGTCCTCTGTCCCTCCGTCCTCTGTCCCTCCGTCCCTCCGTCCCTCCGTCCCTCCGTCCCTCTGTCCCTCTGTCCCTCCGTCCTCTGTCCCTCCGTCCCTCCGTCCCTCTGTCCCTCTGTCCCTCCGTCCTCTGTCCCTCCGTCCTCTGTCCCTCCATCCCTCCGTCCCTCCGTCCCTCTGTCCCTCCGTCCTCTGTCCCTCCGTCCCTCTGTCCCTCCGTCCCTCCGTCCCTCTGTCCCTCTGTCCCTCCGTCCTCTGTCCCTCCGTCCCTCCGTCCCTCCGTCCCTCCGTCCCTCTGTCCCTCTGTCCCTCCGTCCCTCTGTCCCTCTGTCCCTCAGTCTCTCAGTCCCTCTGTCCCTCCGTCCCTCCGTCCCTCTGTCCCTCAGTCTCTCAGTCCCTCTGTCCTCACTCATGTCCAGTCTTCAGAATAGGAAGCAGAGCTCTGTGTGTGGCTAACAGCTGCTGTGGATCTGTGACAGAAGGACCTATTCTGGGATCACAGCGTCCTTCGCTGCCAAAAGGGACGAGCCATAAACTGCTGTCAGTCTGAGACCAGCTCAACACGGGGCGRGGGTCCTTGTCTGGGGAGGGGCGGGGGTCCGTCAGCCTTACTGCTGAAAACAGCAGAGACAGATGGGAGGGAGGGCAGGAGAAACACCTGGCTGTCAGAGGAGACATGTGAGGGTCTCCCTCTCCCTTCCTGTTCATTTGAATAAACTTTATTGATAAATGGACAAATGGGGGGGGGGGGTTGTCACTGAACCATATGTTGTTGGTATTGTTGACTCTGCAACCTGAACAACAAAAACAAATATTCTGCCTCCTCTCTCACTGAAAGAAGTTTGTTTRAAGCCTAAAATGAGCTAAAAACTGATCAACAACTTATTTCTGCTGCACAAGTTTTTATTATTTTAATGCAGAAAACATTTTTATTACATTAAAACAACTTTGTTTTCTTGTAGATTTCAGAGAAAGATCAGGCATGTGTTTGAAAGTTAGATTAATGAAGCAGCTAACGCTAACAAACTATTAGCATGACAGTGTGGCATGATATGTGGCCCCAGAGCCGCAGGTTGGAGACCCCTGGAGTAAACACGTCTCAGGTTTTTACTTGTTTCTCTGTGAAACTTTTTAAATATTTACAGGCAAAGTAGCTGTTTATTTTTATTTTTTTGGCTGTTTTTTGATATTTTTCTGATAGATGCTGCAACAAGAAGACAAATGACACAATCTGAGCTTCAAATAAGAAAATAAAAGATGTAAAATAATAATAAAAACACCACGAGCACTGACTCCAGTAAAATACTGAGGATAACCTGGATGGRAATGATCCAAATGGATCCAAAAGAGTTTCAGGATTTAAACCAGGAAATCCAAATATTCTGACTTGAATCCAATAAATCAAAAAGTTCAGAAGGAGCAGAACCAGGAGAACCCTGACCCRTAAAACCAGCTGTCCCTGGTCTGCCTGGTTTAGGTTCTGGTTCCAGGAGGTTTTATTTGTCATGAAGCTGCTTCTGTTCTGCCCTGACCCAGGTTCAAGGTTCTGTTTTGTAAAACGGCCCCTCTTGAGTCCTGGTTGAAGTGGGTTGGGACCGCCGGTCCCTCCTGCAGTGTTGAGTTTCTGCAGGTTTATTCTGAGGCCTGCGTGTCCTAATATAGAGCTTCGGCTGCAGGAAGCAGGCAGKTCTTTGTGGCTGAAGCTCGTCGCCGCGGGCTGAAGCGCCGCATCGGCTCGTAATCAGGAAAAGATAAACGGCCGGCGCTCGGGGCCCCGGGGGCCGCCTGGCCCCGGCTGTTGTTCACAACACGGGGTGCCAGGAGGACCGGGTCGGTTAAGACCAGCTAATGGATTTTAGTTTGTTACATTTCAGCTGCTATCAGGGAGAGGAGGCGATGGTTTTCAGCTAAAACAGCTGAAATCAGAACATTATTTTACTGACAGGATTCACTTCAACTGAAAACTGTTTGCTTTGTGTTTGACGTAGATTAAGGGTTTGTGTTGATAATTAAAGAATAAATTCAGTATGTGGTTTTCTGGTGTTTGTATGAACTTCCTGTCTGTGGCTCCTCCTCCTCCTCCTCCTCTTCCTCACCTCTCAGGTCATTAATCCCTCCTCTGACCCACATTCCCAGCCTGGATGTAGCTGTTCCTCTCAGATTAATGAGTCTGATGGGTGCAGCTGAAACCTGATCTAAAGTCACCTGTGGGGTCCAGCAGGTTGGCTCACCTGGGAGGAGCCCCCTCCTGCAGACRGGTCAGAACCGTGACCCTCCTAAAGCTGGAGTTTTTAACAGAAAACTGTCCATTCAGCAGATTATTTCTGCAGCTGCTATAAATACCTGAGTCATGAATCCAGCAGACGGCTGGGTTATTCTTCCTCCTGGTCCTGGTCCCAGTCCTGGTCTGGAGGAGCTGTTCCCCCAAGTTGTTTCCGGTCTCAGTGAGCTTCTTGTCTGTAAAAATAAAACTTCATCATCACATGACGGTGATTTCAGAGAGGGATCATGTTTTCTGTCTGAGCAGAGCCGTAAATTAACTCTAATGGGTCTGAGACCCGATCCCTCTGAGCTCAGACTGAGAGATCCGATTCATCTGATTCATCTGAGCTCAGACTGAGAGATCTGATTCATCCGATCCCTCTGAGCTCAGACTGAGAGATCCGATTCATCTGATTCATCTGAGCTCAGACCGAGAGATCCGATTCATATGATTCATCTGAGCTCAGACTGAGAGATCTGATTCATCTGATTCATCTGAGCTCAGATTGAGAGATCTGATGTAGAAAAAAAACCTGTGCTAAAGGTTGAAAACCTGCGGGATGGAGGGAAATAAAACAACAACCCATTTCTATTTATTTCYGCTACAAATAAAAACATTTGAGTCTTTTTCTCACAGGGGTCACAACTGTCAGGTTCTGTTCACACTAAGCACAGCTTCAGATGTCATTTAAAACATTTTATCATTTAGTTTCACCGTTTATTAAAGTAATTTCAGTAAAGCTGTCAAACTAAAATGCTTTATTACCAAAATAAAAGGTTCAGACTAATGCACATTAATGCTCTGATGTAAAATAAAAATATTCATAAAGTTTTTCTGTCTGCTCTCAGGGTGAGACGGAGATCCCGTCTGTRGCCGTCACCAAGGGTCCACAAGGACCCGTCCTGGAGGGTCTGAATATTGAGCCGGATTCCTACGACCTGCCCGTCGACCTCTCCTCTGACGAAGAGGGTCTGGGCGACGACGAGCCGGACCCGTCGCGAGCGACCCGCCTCAAGAAGTCCATGGTGAAGAGCACGGAGACCCTGAAGGCCGCCTTCTCCAAGGAGAACATGAGCAAAACCAAAGACAACCTGGGCACCAAGCTCCACAGCCTGGGYGAGAAGGTCATGCCGCCGGAGCGGAGGGAGAAGATGCACCAGGCCGGCGAGCGGCTGAAGCAGTCCGGCGAGCGGCTGAAGGAGAACATCGCCAAGAAGGCCCCCAGCAAGGAGGCCTTCCGCATCAAGCTGAAGAAGGAGCGCATCGTGGCCGAGGGCCAGGAGGGCCAGGAGGGCCAGGAGGGCCAGGAGTCCGAGGCCGGGGCCCAGGCCAAGGAGGAGAAACCAGCCGAAACCAAGAGGGAGGGCCCAGTGGAGGAGGGCGGAGCTACGAGAGTAACAGAATAAGATGACAGGAAGTAGGCGAGGCGGGACACGATGGATGATTTGTTTTATTTGTCTCAATATCAAAATGAAATTTGTTTTTAAATCAAATTATTTATAAAATCTGCTCATTCGAACTTTTGTAAACAAACAAACTCTGAGTCCAGTTGTCAGAGTGCAGAGAAGGTGAAAGGTCAAAGGTCAGAGAGTGTGTTCCAGTCTTTTATCTGAATGTAAATATGGTTGAACAAACAGCAGGTCTGATGTCTGCTAACGTTTAGACAGAAGCTGAAGAGAGCTGCTTTAAAAAAAGCCCCAATCTTCTAAACTCGCAGCTTTTTCTTTACGTTTACAAAGGTTCAAATCTGCACCGTTTCCTCGAACAAATACAGAAACTTTACGAGGTGCAGGTCTGACCTTTATTCAGGATCTGGAGGTGAAACTGTAAGGTCCGGACCAGGTTCTGTTCAGTCCTGGATCTAGAGGTTCCTCTGCTCCGTCACACCTGGTTGAAGAAGTGACTCAGGTGTGCTGCAGCAGAGAGGCAGGTCCAGGACCAGGACTGGGTTCATCTGGTCCGCAGGTGGACGTGGGCGGTCAAAGCTGCGACTTCAGAGCTTTTTGCTTGTTTTCTTTTAAAGTTTCAGTTTTTGCTGATTTTTTTTTTTTTTATCAACATTTGATGTTGAGATGATTTCTGAGGCTGCTGCTTTCACCAGAGTGTTTCATGCTTAACTTTAATAGAGTGGTGTCTTATTCTGAAAATCCACTTCCTGTAYGGCTTCTGTTCTTATGTTTGTGTGTTTGTGCTGCTGAGCTCAGTTAAAATTATTTAGGTTCATTTCTTCTCATTTCACTTTGTTTTCATTTTATATAAATAAAATTCACCTGAAACTAAACGATCGTTTCAGCTTCTGTTTGGTGTGTTTTATTTCTCTGTTATTTAAGTG